TCAATCTGAGTGGAAGTGTTTTGCTAGCAAATGCGAAGGTTATCACCTCATGAGAGCATAGCTACTTCACTTCCTCCTAAAAAAGATTAAGCCCGGGTATAGAGCTCATGCATGTGAGTGAATATACAAAATGTGTGCAAAGTAATGTATTAATCAAAATAACATGAATAAATCAAAAACAAAATCAAAATGAAGTAATAACTAACACATAATTTATTTTATTTATTAACATGAATGTTTTCAAAAAATAAAATAAAAGAAATTAAATTGAATTGAATATCAAATAAAATCAATTAAATACAACCATTGTCAATAGCACATAATTAAAATTTAGCCTGACTCTCAAATAAGTCCCCAGTAGAGTCATCAAGCTGTCCGAACGGTTTTGAGACCGTCAAATGTAAAAATAGAGTTTTAAAATCAAAAAAATAAAATGAGAGAGTCGCCACCAATCTTTGTTAGGGTGTGATTGGTCACCCAAAAGTTTATCTTTTTAATAAAATTATAAAAACGGGTTTAAAGTTTATCAAAAAGATAAATTTCGATCTATGAAAAATCAGGTTGGGTCTGGGAGTCGGTTACGCATAGGGAAGGATTAGCACCCTTACAACGCCCATAAATTGATACCATTTAATCACGCGCTATTTTCGGTGTTGGATAAAAATTGTTTTAACTTGAAATTTAACAATAATTCCTTTCATTTGAAAAAATAAAATTTTGCTAAAATTTTTATTTAAAAATATTGAGAAAATCTTTAAGTTAAAGAATTATCTTAAAATTCTCTAATATCTAGGCAGAATTTAAAGTAACTCTTTTCGCTTAAGATTTAACACAATAGTCCTTAAAATGAAATAACAATCTTTATAAAAAATAATTGTTAGTGACTCTCCAACATCTAAGCATAGTACCAAGAATTATTTCTTTCGAAATGTTATTTTTATTTTATTTTATAATATCACAAAATTATTTAAAAGTATTATTTTTTTTATTATAAAATATTTTATCACCAAGTAGTAAATAAAAATTAATGACAGAATAGTGTAAATAATTACTGATAATAACATGCTAACGTATGTATGCAAATGAATGTTATGTAGGATGTGATGCAATTTAAAAGTTGGATTCTTAAGTATAATGAGACCACCCCGACTCTCCAACATTTAGGCAGAGCTTAGGTGCGACTATTTATATTTAAAATCCTAATTTACTATTATACTTTTTATTTATTAATCTTATTATTAATGCGAATTAAGAAATCGTGTGAAAAGATTTAACGAAGTAAAATTTCTTAAATACCCCATCATCTAGGCGGCATTCGAGAACAAACTGCTTCAAATAGAATTTTCACACGTATCCTTAGGATTTTTAGTATGTTTTGAGTAAAGGCTTGAGTAGAGGTTTTAAAGGTTTGGTTTTAGGTTTAGAGGGTTTTAAAGCTTGAATTTTAGGATATGGAAGGTTTAGGTTTTGGTTTTAGAGTTTGGAGATTTTAGGGTTTGGGTTTTACGGTTTGAGGTTTTGATTTAAGGGTTTGGATTTTAGGGATTTTGAATTTTAGGGGATTTAAGAACTTAGGATTTTGAAAACTAAAAATTAGTGTTTAAGGTTTAAGTAAAACGTAAACATCTTTAAAAATCCCTATCATCTAGGCGGACTTTCGGAATAAGTTCAATTTTTTATAATTTTTGAAAACTAATTAAAAATTTCTTATGTGTTTTTTTTTATGAAAATTTATTCATAATAATTCCCAACATCTAGGCGAAATTATTTTTTTAGAAAAATATTTTTATTCCCTCCAACATCTAGGCAGGGAAAATAATAATAATAATAAATATTTTTTTGAGCATTTTTAATATATTTTTAATTATTATTTGTTTTCAAATTTATTGTTATTGAAACAATTAAACATTTATTCTAACAAATTTAAAAATTTATCATGCATAAATATAAAAATATACTTAAAATAACAAAAATAATAATATAAAAAAATTTGAAAATCCAAAAAAAAAATTTTTTTTTAACCTGAACCGGACCGATCAACGGTCCGGTCAACACTGGTCTGGATCGGTCTGACCGGTTCTGCGATTCGATCGACGGTTCGGGTGGTCCAGTGGTTCAGACCGGCTCAGACCGGTTCACTGGACCAGTTTAAGGTTGGCTGAAGCGGGTTGACGGGTCGGTTTGCGTGGGTCTCAGGTCAGATTCGGGTCCACGCGCGAATCTTCCTTTGTTAAAACAGCATCGTTTTGGATCTTTCCCTAAACGACGTCATTTTTTAGTTTTGCTTTCCTATATATAGCTACAGATATTTTTTTTGGTTTATTATTTTCTATTTCAAAAGAAAAAAAGGAGAGAGAGAGCTCTGGGGGGAGAGCTCCGGCTATCTCGCCGTCCGGTCGTCGGAGCACCATGCTAATCGTCGCCTGGTCCACCGTCGCGGTGGTTGCCGGCGGTTGGAAACACTAAAAAATTTTAAGAAGCTCTTTTCAACGAGATCTTCCTAGTTCTGAAGTCCGTTTTACCATAAGCAGCCCCAGTCGGCGTAGATCAAAGCTTGAAGCTTTCGGTTTCTTTTCTTTCTTTTTTTTTTTTTTTTTGAGAAACTGACTTTTTTTTTTGGTTTTTACAGGGTTTGCTCGGCGCTTATGGTTCCTCGCCGTAAGCGAGAACTATGTTGTTTTTTTTCGTTTGTTTTCTTTGGTTTGGGTATTTGTTTGGGGTGATGTTTGGAGTTGTTGAGAGTGTTTTGAGGGGAGGTTTATCTGAGCTCGAGGGTTTTTCAGAAAGTAGGTTGAACGGGTATTTTTTTTTTTTCAAAGAGCCTTCCAGCTAGCTTGAAGAGGAAATGACTGGAGATTTTAAAGGGCTTTAATTAGGGGGATCTAGGTGGGTGTAGGGTGACTGTAGGTGGGTTGAAAGGGAGCTGGTCAGGGGGCGTCAGGGAGCTGACAGGGGGCTGTAGGGTGGCTGGTCGGGGGTGGCAATAGCGCCAGCCACCCTACTTTCTGTTTTTTATTTTTTTATTTTTTTTGTTTTGCTTTTTTATTATTGTTTTTGTATATATATTTATATAATAATAATAATAATAATTATTATTATTATTAAAATTAAAACAGTAAACCCGAATAAAATCGATATCTACAATACATAAATCAAATATGTAAAATTTTTTAAAAATTTAATTTTAAATTTAATATATTTTTCAAATAGGTATTTTTAGTATAAAATTTTAAAATTTTTTTATAATTTAATAAATATTTATCAAATTTAAATTATAAATGATATTTTTAATATGTTTTTATATACTATTAATTTTCACATTAAATTTTATCAATTTATTAATTTGAAGTTTTTATTAAATTTGTTATTAAATATTAAAAAAAATTCACAAACTTCACTTACAAAAACTTTATCTAAATTTTTTATAATTCAAGCACCTTAAAACTAGCAAGTATTCTACTCGCTGTCATTTATATATATCTTCTTATGAAACAAAATACAAATTTTGATTTTAAATAATTGTTCTTTTATATTATTTTAATATTTAAATTAAAAGACCAATCCAGTGCTAACTGCTGAGTCAAGAGTACATATTGATACTTTTCAAACTTAGATACTGAGTTTAATTACATACTAACTTTTGTTTATATTTTCTAAACTTTTTTGATACTTAAGTTACTTAAAATTCATTACTGAAATTAAAAAACCAATACTTTATCAACAGAAGACATAATTATTGATATATTTTCTAATAATTAATCTCTAAACATGTAAATGTGTACCTTTTATTTTTATATAAAGGTTACAAACCTAAACGCATAATTTACTACTTTATATTAAGCGTCATAATATTTTTGTAATTCTAAATTAAAAGAATTCATTTCTTGTGGAATTTTTTTCCAAAGTTAAATATCAAAATTAATTTCATATTAACTATTATTATATTTTCCTAACCTTTCAACATGTAAAGTATCCTTTTGTTTTGATGTTAATTCTATAACACAAATATATAATTTATTACTAAAAGAAAGAAGAAAAAGAGGTTAAAAATATATTAAAATTTCGGAAGGATGACGGTGGAAAACGACGGAAAAGGAGTGAGAAGCCGCTGACCTAGAGTTCAGATCTAGGAAACTCTAGCATGATTTATGGAAAACTGATACCGGAAACAAAAAGATGGGGGAAAAAGGAGTCGAGAAAAATTTTTAACGGAATTTTAAGCGCCAATCAACCGTGGCCGGCGACGAGGTACGACGGCGACAACGGTAATGTCGGCCGAAATTTGGGATTTTGAAGAAGACCGATTGTTTGTTTTTTTTTTTTTTTTTTTTTTGTAAGGCGGAAGAAATGAATTAGGAAAAAAACAAACGAAAGGTTTTGTACTTAAAAAATATCTATCCAATTTCGACCCAGCCGCCAGGAGCTTATTTCATTTGGGCCATTTCATTTTTTTTTTTTTGAACTCAAAGCCCAAGTGAGATATATATATGTCTCTTATAACTTTGGGCACATATCGTTAATATTTATATACGCAGTTATATTTTTAATATATTGATAAATATAAAAATTATTTTTAATAAAAAAGAGAATATTTTTAAATAAAAATAATTTTTGGTTCTTTACATACACTTAACAAGTCTAGCTTTTATTGTAGTTGATTTTTTTATTTATAGTATTCAATTATTGTTTTTAAAAAAATTACATCTTGGGTTAGTAATTCTTTTAGAAGAATGGTGTGATCATCAATAGGTTAATTTTTTATATTTATTTTTTAAAATTTAATTAAGATTAAATAGATTTGATTTGTTCTAGTTGAAGAGGTCATAATTAATTAACTCATAGGTATATCCTAACATGGAGAATCCCACGTAACATCGTCGTATCATTCGAAGAAAAAGAAAATTAATCACGCCTTTTCTTTTCTTTTTTTTGTTTATGTTTATTTTTTAAAAAAAAAAACTTAATAATTGTTAATAATGTACAAAGCTTTCCGGTCCAAATTACCTTGGTAGAGTTATATCAGAATCAAAATTCAAGGATGCCATGGCAATTGATTCTGGTGATTCATCTACATTCACTCCCCTTGTCCTATTTATCTCCCCTAGCAAACACTCGCTCAATTCCGTCACCACATTATTCATTGTTGGCCTTCCAGTGGAAGCTGGAGATAAACAAGCCATTGCCACATCTATCGCTTTCCGTACAGAATTTATCTCAAAATCTCCTTGCAATCTTGAATCCACAATGTTTTGGATGTCCCCATTGGATAACATGGAACCAACCCAATGACTTATGTGAGCAGGCTCATCCATATTTCTTGCAAACACTGGCCGGTTTGTGATGATTTCCAAAAGAACTACCCCAAAGCTATAAACATCACTTTTCTCAGTCAACCTGTTTGATGTAGAATACCTGCATTACCAAGCGTGGAAACCAACAAATTTGCAGCAGTCAGATAAGGTGGAAAAGAGATCAGAAACGATCATCTCAAGACAAGATGTACTTACTCAGGGTCAAGGTATCCAGGGGTACCCGCTACGACGGTGGATACATGAGAGACACCTTCGAAACTTCTGGATAGCCCGAAATCAGATAGTTTAGCTTGCAAGCTTTCAGTTAATAATATGTTGCTAGACTTTACATCTCGGTGGATTATGGGTGGTTTGCAACCACAGTGTAAATACTCCAGTCCTGCATTTTCATTTATTTTTTTGTATTACTTAATTAGTGAAATAAACCAAAAAAAAAAAATGCAGAAATTATTATAGGTGAACTAATACTAACCTTGTGCTGCCTCCAGCGCTATTCCAAGTCTTCCTTCCCAATTTAAGACACCGTTACTTTTATCTGAATTCATAGGAAGTTATGAGTTAATCAATCCTCCCTTTTTTTTTTTTTTTCCTTTAATTTGAAGTAAAGAAATTAAACGTATACAATACATCAAATCCAACGAATTACTGAAAATAGCGTGGTAAGTGTTTAATGTTCAAACCTGAGAGATACTCTGATAAGTTTCCTTTGGCCATGTACTCATAGATTAGCCCCGTGTTGGTGCCATCATCGCAATAACCAATAAGGGTAGTGAAATTTCTATGATGAACTCTCAAAAGAATCTCCACCTATATATATATATATAATGATAAATTAAAACCCAAATTTTAATTAGTTTATATATATGTATCAATGAGGTCAAACCTTAGTATTAGTACTCATGGGTCATGGCTCTCATACCTCAGCTTCAAACTGCTTATACCCTTGACTAGATGATTTTGATAACATCTTAACTGCTACTTCAGTATCACCCAAGCAACCGTGGTAAACTGTTCCAAATCCTCCTTTCCCAATAACTCTCTCAAAATTGTTTGTGATCCTTTGGACCTCAGAGTATGTAAATTGTCGATTCTTTAACTCATTCTGGTATGGTCTTCTAGAGTCCACAATCATTTCGCCTACTGCTGACAACATTAAAGCACGTTCAATAAGCATATAACTGTTGAGAAAATCTTTCACAATAGCACGAAAAGGTTCATTTTTATGTTACTTAAGTACATATATTTTGTAAGATTTGTCCTACCTGATGGTTTTGTCCCTTTATACCACGTCCATAAGACAGCTGAACCAATTATGATGAGGAGAAAAAGCACTGAAGCAACTGATGCTAATAACGGAACCACTACGGTACTGTTATTCTTCGACTTCGTTGTCATGCATGATTTCCATGTACAAGGAATTTGATTTTCGTCCACACTTAATCAATTCAGTTGACAAACAGAAAAAGTAAGACTTGGATGAAAGGACTACTAGCTATAAATTTGTTTTGATGTTTGCTAAAGAGGAGATTAAAATGAACACAAGGAAATTGCTATTCAAAATCATAGATCATGGAAAGGAATTCATATATACTTTAATTGTAGCAAACCGCTGTTTGACTTTTCAATGAGTCCTGCTGGAACTGAACCATTTAGTCCGTTTCTTTTCAAGTTTCTGCAAAGGTAGAGAAGAACGTTCTTTAACTCCTTATTCAAAATTTATAATTTTTAAGTCTAAATTCCAAGTAACTTACAGGATGATCAAAGATTGCAGTTGAGTTAAAAATTCGGGCACTGCTCCTTTCAAATAATTGTCTGATAAGTCCCTAATATTGTAGCAGAATTAGTTAAGCTTATATTTCTCCTCCATCATCGTTATATAGGATGATAACTGGTTACTTCATATGAGATGGAGATCGACACTTACAGATATTGTAATTGAGTGAGATTGACGATATTTAAGGGAATCTCTCCGGTCAAACCGCTTGAGGACAAATTCCTGATTTAATAAATAATAGTTTTACTAATAATAATAATGAAGTTATTTGAATAAAAATTAGTAGCTAACTTCAACTCTAAAGCACAGACTTACAAAGATATGATCGTAGGTTGATTTGAATCATTATAGCTGCAATTAAGACCTTCCCATAAGTATTCCTTTGGAGCACAAGGATCACCTTGCCAGTTTCTAATCAATCCATACATTGATTTTATATTCATCATCGCATCAACTATCATATATATGTGAGAACAGGAGTTATACTAGCAGAATGATAGGTATGAAGAGAATCTCTGTCATTAGTTTTAGAGTGCATACCCTCTTTTTCAACAGTTTGTGGCTGTAGGAGCTCCTTTACTTCATAAGCCTCAAAGGCATTCAGGATGGGCGGATGGGTTGATCTTTCGGTTTTTACCATTGAAAACTGGCCTCCTTCTCTCGGTCCCGGTTGTGTGCTTGTTATAGTGTCTGCCCGCAAATTTGTAGGGCTAAAAGGTCCAAACCAAAGCGCTTCATTGAGATAGATGATGAACTCTCTGGACTGGTTAGCTTGGAGCTCTTCAAGTTCTGCAACGTGCATGTAAAAATAAAATTGGGAATTGGAATCAGAATCTTGGACGGAAAAATTCAAGGGTTGACCAGCGTTGGCTGGTGTGCTGGCAGTCCTCATGGCAAGCGATGGTGGATCATAGTCGCTGTTAGGCGTAACGGGAGAAGAGGTATTTATTTGTCCCAAATCATTTCTTTGGTAAGGCGTCCAGATACGATCATAAACATCTTCTGGAAACCTGAGGCAAATTTCGCTCAATAATTAAGAGAGAAGCATCAAAAATCTTCTCTTCATTTATATTTACCAAAATTTTGAGTGAACAACTTGCCTGACTGTTGAATTGGATGTTGAACCAAAATCATTCCTGAAGAAAAGTTCCAGTGATTCTTTTTCGGACTGAGTGTTGTATGTCGTGTTTTTCAAAAGCCTGAACTCTAGTGCTGATATGATAGGTATCCCTTTCTCAGTGTTCACAAGACAGACATGCAAATAATTCGATTGAAGAACATGAATGAATTCCTTGACTATAACAGTAGATGCATTTTGAAATACAATTGTGGCCCAGAAATTAGTTCCTAAATGTAGATCAAATTCTGGTGCCTCATTTTTTTTATCATAGTTTCCATACATGAAAGTTGTTCTGATTAAATATTTGTCACCCTTTGTGAGGTTTAGCATGTAACAGTTTCTGTCTCCTTCCGAAAAACTTCTAAGATACTCCAGTAACTGTTGCTGCTTGCCAGAATTGAATTCAGATATCTTATGGCTTTTGCCAGTTTGGATGTATGGTGCATCTGGAGTATAAGTTATGCCTTTTATGGTTTCGTTGTAGCCTAAATCATCTGGCCACCCACAATCTAAGCTAATGAACCCTGGATAGAAACATGTGGAGAAACTTAGTTGTTTCTGTTAGTTAAAGAAAATTGGAATTGTTCTATATATGTCCAGAGACTTAGATAGCCAAACCTGATTGATTCTGTGCATGAATCACAAGTGCCTGCAGAACAAAGATGCTAAACAATAGGAAATGACTTCTCATCCTCATTTGACTCTCCAGTTTCTCACTATTGAGTGCAAAGAAGTATCCTATAACTCAGACACTACATAAGAACCAAGTACCACATTGGAAAGAGACGCTGGTACAAAAAAACTTGGTCAATTGTAGATATTTTAAACATGAAAGTAGTATACATTTTACAACATATTTTTGTCAGGCCTTCCTTTTCTGTGGTACTGTTGAAAGTTAGATTTATCTATTAAACGTGGAATTGGTACACAGACAAACATGACCAGAGATTAAACAAGAATTTACAGTGTACCGAGTAAAAGGTCTTAGCAATTAGTTGTATTTTTCGAAGGTAGGCTTGTGAGAAGTCTTTGTTTAAGAACGACTTGTTCATTACGCGCGATGTAAAGTGCACCCTCCCATTCGTGTCTTGGTATATTGTTACCATATTTAAAAATTAAAGGAAATATTTAGACTTGTGTGATAATTAATTAATGTTAAACAACAATTTGTAAAACATCTGCTGATGACATATGGAAAAGTTCAAGAACAGTTGGAATTTCCAAGAGTTGAACAAGTACTTGATATGGCCTAGTTTTAGGCAAATAATTTAGTCTGGTGCAATACGATGTGAAATGTCTCAACTTTTAAACAGTGAAAATCGATTGCTACTTCTAACTTGTGCATGTTTTGAACATGAATAAAAGGAAATTAAAAAAAAATCTATCTAACAAGATGATTTCAAATAATATAGCATTTTGCTTAAACTTACCAAAAAAAGAAAAAAAAGGAACTTAATTCAAACTCACAAAACTTAAGAAAAGGCTTGCCTATATATCCAGATGCCAGGGATGATTTGAAATTATTTCGAATTTTGTTTCCTCTGCAGAACTTGAATGTCAGTTGAAATAAATTCAAAAAAAAAAAAAAAAAAAAAAAGAGAACGTGAGTTGAAATGTTAAAATTCTATTGCAAACAGACCAAATTGTCAGGAATCTCCTACATACTCAAAATGGGCATGACATAATATTCAATAAAATAATACAAGACTAAGTATTCAAACTTTTACATAGTCCAAGAGTACATAATCTTTATAAAAACGCCTCGAATCCACGGAACGTGTGGCAAAGCATTAAAACGTATAGATGATAAAAACATGTCTAATTGACCCTTTCTATACCAATTGATTTTGCATAAATAATCACCTAGTTAAAGGAATTACTTCAGTTGGCGCCAGACGAATATTGTGGTTCCTATCAATCTGGGTCGACAAACACTCGTTTAATTAAGTTGAAGCATAATTCATGGTTAGCATTTTCGTCGAATTTGGAGATACACAAGCCATTGTCAGTTCATTAATGGCTTTCTTCATAGAAGTAATGTCAAAATCTCTTGCAATCTTGGGTCAACAATGGTTTAGATTCACTAGGAAGAAGAAAAAAGATACACTGTATCTTTTTCTTTATTAAACAAAAAGAGTTATTTTGGTGAGATAGGTTTAGAATATTTCTTGGTACTTTAGCACCTTGGTGGTATTACATATATCAATTAGATATAATTAATAATGATAAGATTTAAAGAAAAACTATCAAAATACTAAAAAAAATGACAAACATATATAATTATAATGATCTTATATTAAAATTATTTTCATATAAGATCAATATAAAAATATTCAAATAAATATCTTAAATAAATATAAATAAATTAAATTAACCCAAAACTAATAATTATCAAAAAAAAAAAAAATGCAAACCTAACTGAAAATTCTTAACTTTAAATTACAGTATCTAAATACCTCTTTCACCTCAAATTTTTTCAAGTACACATGTCATCGTGCTAAGTCATGTAGACAATTTTTGTTTTATGTTAGATGTTAGATTTTAGATATTAGATGATAAATATTATATAATGGGAAGTAATTATTTCTCATTGCATAGTTTTACTCTTCACATATTAAAACTTGAACTCAATCCTCTAAATAAAAATCTTAAAGTCTAAATAGTGAATAACGCCGGTTGGAAACATTTTGTTTAAAATTAGCTAAGTGTTTTAATTATGACAAACAATTTCTAATAATTTCAATTGTTAAAATAAAAGACTCCAATAGAGGCTTCATATTCAAATCTTTTTAACATTTGAGGATGGACTTATGGAATGGAAAATAGTTATTTTTCATGTAGTTTTATGTTTGATCCTCGTATAGAGATGACAATGGGTATTATATAAATATATATATATATATATTTTATATAGTAGGTTACTTGCACTATCCCATTCAATTAAATAGTAATAGGATAACATATAATCAAGTTTAGATAGTAAAAGTACTACCCATCATGGGTTTAATTGGATACTTGTTTTTGGATACCCACAATCTAAATCCGACTATAAATAATGTTATTTCAATATTAAATGTTTGTTTTAAATTATTATGCTTATATACTTATAATTAATTTAATACATACTAAAATTCATAAATTGTCTAAATATGATTTTTAATTTTAATTTGTTAACTTAATTTTACTCAATAATATACATTGAAATTAATGTTAACTTTTTTTTTTATTATTTTACTATGGATTTAGGTTCAAATCTAATAACGGATATTCATGTTATTTACAATCAAATGCTCAAAATTTATATTCTTTGCAGGTATTTGGTATTAATATTTAGTCAAGTTCAAGATGTAATTATGAGTAGTTAAAGTGTCATCAGGCTTGGATTCAAGTCCAAAAGATTTAGATGAAATTTTTTAAGTGAAATTTTTTATTAAAAAATATTAAATAAAAATTAAAATAGAAAATCAGAACTAATAAATTAAAAAATCTTGTTACATAAATCAAATATGTAAAATTTTTTTAAATTTTAATTTTAATTTTAATATATTTTTCAAATATGTATTTTTAGTAAAAAATTTAAAATTTTTTTATAGTTAGTTAAGTATTTATCAAATTTAAATTATAAATGATATTTTTAATATGTTTTTATATACTATTAATTTTCACATTAAATTTTATCAATTTATCAGTTTAAAATTTTTATTAAATTTGTTATTAAATATTAAAAAAAAATTCACAAACTTCACTTACAAAAACTTTATCTAAATTTTTTCTAATTCAAGTACCTTAAAATTAGCAAGTATTCTACTCGCTGTCATTTATATATATATATATATATAGCTCCTTATGAAACAAAATACAAATTTTGATTTTAAATAATTGTTCTTTTATATTATTTTAATATTTAAATTAAAAGACCAACCCAGTGCTAACTGCTAAGTCAAGAGTACATATTGATACTTTTCAAACTTAGATACTGAATTTAATTAAATATTAACTTTTGTTTATATTTTCTAAACTTTTTTTGGTACTTAAGTTACTTAAAATTCATTACTGAAATTAAAAAACCAATACTTTATCAACAGAAGACATAATTATTGATATATTTTCTAATTAATCTCTAAACATGTAAATGTGTACCTTTTATTTTTATATAAAGGTTACAAACCTAAACGCATAATTTACTACTTTATATTAAGCGTCATAATATTTTTGTAATTTTAAATTAAAAGAATTCATTGCTTGTAGAATTTTTTCCAAAGTTAAATATCAAAATTAATTTCATATTAACTATTATTATATTTTCCTAACCTTTCAACATGTAAAGTATCCTTTTGTTTTGATATTAATTCTCTGACACAAATATATAATTTATTACTAAATTGTAACATTTATTAAAGAGACCTTTTTATTTATTTTCTAATTAATCCACATTTAAGATTTTATTGCTAACAGTTGACATAACATGACAATCGTTTGAGCTACTTCCATCCTAAAACCTTTTTTTCTAGAAGTACATGTCAAAAGAAACCTTACCATCAATGAACTCTAATTTAAAATAACCAAAAAAAAAAAGTTTATGAATCTATTTGATTTCTTAAAGGGGGTAATTCTTGGATAACATTTTTATTATGGGATTTTGATTTATCTAATTGTAATGGCATTCATATGTCTAATAAACTTTTAATTTTAAAGCATATCTCACATATTCATTTGGCCAAAACCCATGTTTATATCGTGGCAACTAAATATTCTTCGGTAAAAGTTTTATGAAAAGAGATAAAAATCTCTTTTATTGCATAAATATAAACATTAATTAGTCTCAAAATTCAAACATAAAACTTTCATGTTTCAACCTCTTATCTTGCTCCAAATCTAAATATTACACTTGGGAATCAATTAATAAACCTTGAACACGTAGGGAAAAAAGATGTATATATTTATACATTTTCTACAAAAACAAACAAAATTAGACTTTGGTCACTCCTAAGAAAAAGTGAAAAAAAAAAATACCAAGCTTAAAGTCTCCTAAAATACATATGTACATGGCTTAATTTCTTGCAGTGTTTTTATTTGCGTACAAGTATAAAATTACTAATGCATAGCGCGCCCAAGAACATTTGGAAATGACACTACCACGATATTTTTGGCGTGGATGAAGCAGAAAAGCATCAAATTAAGCTGTAACCACAGTGTCCGGCCCTAGTCACCTTGATAGAGTTACATCAGAACCAAAATTCAAGGATTCCACAGTAGTTGATTCTAGTGATTCATCTTCATTCACTCCCCTTGTCCTATTTCTCTCCGCTAACAAACACTCGCTCAATTCCATCACCACATAATTCATCGTTGGCCTTTTCAGGGAAGCTGGAGATAAACAAGCCATAGCCACTTCTATCGCTTTCCATGCAGACTTTATCTCAAAATCTCCTTGCAACCTTGAATCCACAATGTTTTCGATGTCTCCATTGGATAACATGGAACCAACCCAATGACTTATGTGAGCAGGCTCATCTATATTTCTTGCAATTACTGGCCGGTTTGTAATGATTTCCAAAAGAACTACTCCAAAGCTATAAACGTCACTTTTCTCAGTCAACCTGTTTGTTGTAGAATACCTGCATTACCAAGCGTGGAAACCAGCAAATTTGCAGCAGTCAGAAAAGGTGGAAAAGAGATCAGAAACGATCATCTCAAGACAAGATGTACGTACTCAGGGTCAAGATATCCAGGGGTACCGGCAATGACGGTGGATACATGAGAGCAACCTTCGATACTTTTGGATAGCCCGAAATCAGATAGTTTAGCTTGCAAGTTTTCAGTTAATAAGATGTTGCTAGACTTTACATCTCGGTGGATTATGGGTGGTTTGCAACCATGGTGTAAATACTCCAGTCCTGCATTTTTTTTTTATATTTCTTAATCAGTGTAATAAACCCAATAAAATGAAGAAATTATTGTAACTAAACTCATGCTAACCTTGTGCTGCCTCCAGCGCTATTCCAAGTCTTCCTTCCCAATTCAAGACACTGCTACGGCTATCTGATCAAGTCATAGGAAGTTGAGTTAATCTTTTTTCAGATTTTGTATTTTTTTTTATATACTTATAACTGTCGGATTCAATCTTGGAACTAAAAATCTAGAATTCTAACAACAGACGAGAAAAAGGAAATTTTACCATATATAATATGTCAAATCCGACTAATTAATGAATATAGTATGGTAAGGGATTAATGAGTTCAAACCTGAGAGATACTCTAATAAGTTTCCTTTGGCCATGTACTCATAGATTAACCCCATGTTGGTGCCATCATCGCAATAACCAATAAGGGTAGTCAAATTTCTATGATGAACTCTCAAAAGAAGCTCCACCTATATATAATCATAAATTAAAACCCAAATTTTAATTAGTTTATATATATCAATGAATTTAAACTTTAGTATTAGTACTAAGGCTCTCATACCTCAGCTTCAAATTGCTTATACCCTTGAATAGATGATTCTGACAACATCTTAACTGCTACTTCAGTGTCACCCAAGCAACCGTGGTAAACTGTTCCAAAACCACCTTTCCCTATAACTCTCTCAAAATTGTTTGTGATCCTTTGGACATCAGAGCATGTAAATTGTCGATTCTTTAACTCCTTCTGATATGGTTTTCTACAGCCCACAATCATTTTGCCTGCTGTTGATACCATTAAAGCAGGTTCAATAAGCATATAACTGTAGAGAAAATCTTTCACAATAGCATGAAAAGGCTCATTTTTATGTTACTTAAGTGCATATACTTTGCAAGTTTGGTCCTACCTGATGGTTTTCTCCCTTTAAACCACCATAAGAGAGCTGAAACAATTATGAGGAGAGAAAGCACTGAAGCAACTGATGCTACTATGGGAACCACTACAGTGTTCTTCTTCTTCGTTGTCATGCATGATTCCCATGTACAAGGAATTTGATTTCCTTCCACACTTAATCAATTCAATTGACGAAGAGAAAAAGTAAGACTTGGATAAAAGGACTAACTACTGCCATCTGGTACATAAAGTTACCTATAGCATTACTCCCAATATGTAAGAATTTAGCCTCTCATCCAGTGAATTTGTTTTGATAATTGCTAAAGAGGAGATTAAAATGAACACAAGCGAATTACTATCCAAAATCATAAACCATGGTATGGAATGCATATATACTTTAATTGTAGCAAACCCCTGTTTGACTTTTCAATGAGTCCTGCTGGAACTGAACCACTTAGTTCGTTTCTTGTCAAGTTTCTGCAAAGGTAGAGAAAAACGTTCTTTAACTCCTTATTCAAAATTTATATTTTTCGAGTCTAAATCCCAAGTAACTTACAGGTGAGTCAAAGATTGCAGTTGAGTTAAAAACTCGGGCACTGGTCCACTCAAATTATTGTTTGATAAGTCCCTGATATTGTAACTGAAATAGGTGAGCTTATATTTATCCTACTTCATCCTTATACAGGATGATAACTGGTTATTTATTATGGATGGAGACACTTACAGATATAGTAATTCAGTGAGATTGACGATATCAGCAGGAAGCTCTCCAGTCAAACCGCTAGAGGATAAATTCCTGATTTCATGAACAATAGTTTTATTAACGATAATAATGATGTTATTTGAATGAAAATTAGTAGCTAACTTGAACTCTACGGCACAGACTTACAAAGATATGATCCTAGGTGGATTCGAATCCTCGTAGCTGCAATTAAGACCTTCCCATGAGTATTCTTGAGGAGCACAAGGATCACCTTGCCAGTTTCTATTCAATCCATACATTGATTTTATATTCATCATCGCATCAACTATCATATATATGTGAGAGCAGGAGTTATATTAGCAGAATGATAGCTATGAGGAGAATCTGTCATTAGTTCTAGATTGCGCTTACCATCTTTTTCAATTGTTTGTGACTCTAGGAGTTCCTTTACTTTATAAGCCTCAAGGGCATTCAGGATGGGTGGATGGGTTGATCTTCTGGTTCTTACCATTGAAAACTGGCCTGCTTTAACCGGTTTTACGCTGTGTATAGTGTCTGCCCGCAAATATGTAGGACTAAAAGTTTGACACCAAAGCTTGTCATTGAAATAGGTGATGAACTCTCTGGACTGGTTAGCTTGGAGCTCTTCAAGTTCTGCAAGGTGCATGTACAAATAAAATTGGGCATTGGAATCAGAATCTTGGACGGAAAAATTCAAGGGTTGACTAGCGTTCGCTGGTATGCTGGCAGTCCTCATGGCAAGCAATGGTGGATCATAGTCGCTGTCAGGTGTAACGGAAAAAGGGGTACTTTTTTGTCCCAAATCATTACTTTGGTAAGGCTTCCAGATCCGATCATAAACATCTTCTGGAAACCTGAGGCAAATTTTGCTCAATAATTAAGAAAGAAGCATCTAAATTTTCTTTTTATTTTGTATTTACCAAAATTTTGAGTGAATGACTTACCTGAATGTTGAATTGGATGTTGAACCAAAATCATTCCTGAAGAAAAGTTCCAGTGATTCCTTTTCGGACAGAGTGTTATAGGTTATGTTGTTCAAAAGCCTTAACTCTAGTAATGATATGATAGGTATCCCTTTCCCAGTGTTCACAAGACAGACGTGCAAATAATTTGATTGAAGAGAATGAATGAGCTCCTTCACTATAACAGTAGATGCATTTGGAAATACCATTGTGGCCCAAAAATTAGGTCCTAAATGTAGATCAAATTCAGGTGCCTCATTTTTTCCATCATAGTTTCCATACATGAAAGTTGTTCTGATTAAATATTTGTTACCCTTTGTGAGGTTTAGCATGTAACAGTTTCTGTCTCCTTCAGAAAAACTTCTAAGATACTCCAGAAACTGTTGCTGCTTGCCAGAATTGAATTCAGATATCCTATAGCTTTTGCCAGTTTGGATGTATGGTGCATCTGAACTATAGGTTATGCCTGTTGTAGTTTCGTTGTAGCTTGAACCTTCTGGCAACCCACAATCTAAGCTAATGAACCCTGGAAAGAACATGGGGAGAATCATCCTTAGTTGTTTCTGTCAGTTAAAGAGATTGGAATTGTTATATATTATGTCCAGAGATTTAGATAGCCAAACCTGATTGATCATGTGCCTGAGTCAGAAGTGCCTGCAGAGCAAAGATGCTAAACTTTAGGAAAAGACTTGTCATCCACATTTAACTCTCCAATTCCTCACAATTGAGAGCAAAAGAGCAGTTAATTAGTACTTATAACTCAGATACCTCATAAGAATCGAGTACCATAATGAAAAGTGATAATGGTATAAAAGACTTGGTCAATTGTTCCTTTAGATATTTTAAACATAATTTTTTTTTTAAGTTGAAGTCTTATGTGGTACTACATATTTTACAACATATTTTTTTGAGACCTTCCTGTCTGTTTTACTGTTGCATGTTAGATTTATCCGTTGAACGTGAAACTGGGACTGTAAATTTTTTTTTTTAAATGCAGAAAAGCAAGTAAAACAAAGAAACTTATGGTGCAACAAGTAAAAGGACTAAGCAATTAGTAGTACTTTTCGAAGGTAGGCTTGCGAGAAGACCTTGTTTAAGAATGACTTGTTCATTATGCCTGATGTTATGTTCAACCTCCCATTTATGTTTTAAGAATGAGTTGTTCATTATACCTGATGTTAAGTGCACCGTCCCATTTATGTTTTAAGAATGAGTTTTATGTTTTAAGAATGAGTTGTTCATTCTACCTGATGTTAAGAATGAGTTGTTCATTCTACCTGATGTTAAGTGCAACGTCCTATTTATGTTTTAAGAATGAGTTGTTCATTATGCCTGATGTTAAGTGCAACGTCTCATTTATGTCTTGATTGTTACTAAATTAAAAATTAAATAAAATATTATACTTGGACTTATATATGTGATAATTAATTAATGTTGAACAACAATTTGTAAAACCCCCGCTGTTGCCAAAGATGGATAAGTTGAAGAATAGTCAGAATTTCCCACAGTTGAACAGGTACTTGATGTAGCTTAGTTTTACGTTATGTTTGGATAAATATTAATTAAAAAAAAAGTTTTTTAAACGAAAGGAAATAATGTATGTAACCTTTATTTGGATAATTAAAATTAATAAAAGAAAGAAAAAAAATTTTAACAATAATTATTTGGATAAAAAGTGAAAAAGAAAAAAAAATAATTCATTATAATAATTTTTTTCAATTATAACCTTTTTATTACTTGTGATTTTAGAGCACTCTTAGATCATAATATATTTACTATCTTATCTGATCTCATAATTGTTGCTATATCAATAGTTTTTAATCAAGTGAAACGGGAAGATGTTTTACAAATATGTGTTGATAAATTTTGAACTAATCTGACATCTCATAAACCTAAAAAATATATCAATTTATATTTAATCATTCATTAAAATCAAATCAGCAAAAATTATAAAAAATATTTATATTGGAAGATATATATATATATATATATATAACTTACTTGAAAAAAAATGACTTTGAAAAAATTACGAGATGATTATGATCTGCTTAGGTTTTTTTTATTAGATTTTTAGTATTAATAAAAAGATTGACATAATAGTCCTTTTATAAATTTTTTTTTTCAACTTTCCTTTCTCTAGCTTTTCCTCCAAATTAAGGTATTAAAAAAATTAAATTTACAAAAAAAAATCAAAGGTTATTTGATTTCCATCTCTTTGTCTTTCTTTAAATTAAATATCTATCCAAACAAGAGAATTGGGGGTTTTGTTTCCTTTGCTTTCCTTTACTTTACTTTCCGTTCCTTTCTCTCCCTTCAATCCAAATACACTGTTAGAGAAATAAGGTTTTATTTGGTTTTGTGGATAAAAAAATGAAAATGTGTAGAATTTAAAAGAAAATATATTTTTTTCATTCATTCTTTGGTAAAATTGAAAAATAAAAAAAAATTATATGATTTCATCATTATAAATTTTTATAAATTAAGACAAAATTTACATATGATAGACAATTTTATAAATATATAATACTTACTTACATCTTTTTCATTTTCTCTTTTTATTTTCTTTTCGATTTGTAATGATTTGTTTTTGTTAATAAATGTGAAAAATAGTAACCTTTCTTTTTCCTTTTTTTTTCATCTCAATTTACTTTACATTTAGAAATTTTTTGTATCTTTTTTTTATCTGTCCTTCCACTTTTTTTTGTTTACCAAGCACACCATATATGTGA